GCACAGAAATTATTACTTACTATTGGCAGGACATATACCCCACTAGGGGAAGGAAACAGTTTCACTCATAAATAAATGATCATAACTTTGATGTGTCCCAGTCAGTATAGGGCTCTTGGAAGGGATTCTTAACCCATAAAGTTGGGATATAACTTAAATTTTACCCATAAACTTGGGATAACTTTAAGAATTGGGGCTGAAAAGGTGGCCCAATGTTTAAGGGCAGTTGCTGATCTTGTAGAGAAGCAGGTTTTGTTCCCAGCGCCCACATGGCAGCTCACAACTGATGGAAACTCCAGTTACATCTGATACCCTCTTCTGATCTCCAGGGACATCAGGCGTGCAAGTAGTGCACATACATGCATGCAGGCAAACAGGTGGTGCACATACACGCATGCAGGCAAACAGGTGGTGCACATACACACATGCAGGCAAACAGGTGGTGCACATACACACACACATGCAGGCAAACAGGTGGTGCACATACAACCATGCAGGCAAACAGGTGGTGCACATACAACCATGCAGGCAAACAGGTGGTGCACATACAACCATGCAGGCAAACAGGTGGTGCACATACAACCATGCAGGCAAACAGGTGGTGCACATACAACCATGCAGGCAAACAGGTGGTGCACATACAACCATGCAGGCAAACAGGTGGTGTACATACACACATGCAGGCAAACAGGTGGTGCACATACACACATGCAGGCAAACAGGTGGTGCACATACATACATGCAGGCAAACAGGTGGTGTACATACACACATGCAGGCAAGCAGGTGGTGTACATACACACATGCAGGCAAACAGGTGCTGCCCATACACACATGCAGGCAAACACTCATACACATAAAATTAAATCTTTAAAAAGACTATATTGAGCAGCATTAACAAACTCAGAGAAAAACAGAACGAGAAAAAGAGATTTGCAGGATCTGTTAGAAATAAGCTTTTTAATAACTTTATGTCTATTATTCTACACTTAAAAATCAAGGAAAACAAAAACTACTAGCAGGCAAGAAATGAAATAAAAATAGTCATAGTGGTTTGAATGAGAAATGTCCCCTATAGGTTCAAGTATTTGAACACTTGGTCCCCTAGTTGGTGGTGGTGTTTGGAGAGGTCATGGAACCCTTATGAGGTAGAGTTTTGCTAGAGGAAATACATCACTGGAGGCAGGCTTGAGGGTTTATAGCCTCACCCCACTTCCAGTTTCCTCCCTCTACCTCATGCTGTTGAAAATGTGAACTCCACCACGCCTGCCTCCTGCTGCCTGGCCTCCCTGCCACACTGGACCCTTATCCCTCTGGAACCAGAAGCCAAAATTAGCAGCTTTCATCTATAAGTCACTTTTGGTCACAATCTTTCATCACATAAACAGAAGAGTAACATTACAGAAGTTCATACCAGAAAGTGGACTGTTTTCATGAAGAAACTTTTTCTTTTCTTTTTGGAGGAATGTGGAAGACTTTGAATCTGAAAAGTTGTTGAATACTGTAAACAGTGCTTAATAGGCCATTCTAGAAATATCCTGGAAAACAGTCACCCTGAGAGTTCTGCAAAGGTAAAGGACAAGCTATAAGGTTTCAGAGGGAACAATATTAAGCCCTGGGCTGGAGACCCATCCCTGTACTATTTTGACAAAGAATATTGCTACTTTCTGCCCTTTCTGCCCTAAGATCCTACCTGAGGCTAAGCTAAAAAGAATTGGACTAATTTCTTTGTCTGAGGAATTTTCAAGACAGCAAATATTGAATCTGTGACAAAGTATTAATGAAAATGCTTATGTAGGTCTACAATGGAAAAGAATGAGGGGAACAGAAAGAAATATGGAATGTATAGTTTAGAGAGAAAGAGAGCTCTAGGAGCATAATGTTGCAGCCAAGATATGTTGAAAGAGAGGCTGTAATTCTTAAGGAGATTGATGGCATTAAGGAGAGGCCTCTTGCTCTATCAAACAATGGAAAGAGGGCCCTGAGGGCAAGATCCAACCCAGCTAAACTTTTATCTTTATAAAGGGAAAGGTCTAAGGAGTTTTCTTCTAAAAAACAACTAACAAATTGTACTGAAAATGTGGTTCAAGGGAATGAGAGTCAACCCAAGATGGTATCCAACTTGGCAGTGTTGTTCATGATATACTGGCTTTGGATGCGTGAAAAATGCAGGGGGGGGCATAGATTCTTGTTCTGCAGTTTAAGAGACACACTGGGGCCAGGCCACCTGTGCGGGTGCTAGACTCACCATGAGAAGGCCTGAGTCACTGCATGGAGCTGTGAAAGTGAAGCCTGGGTTTTGGCCAAAACCTGAAGATGCTGGAAAGGTCAGAGCTATGAAACATCTGCCAACAAGAGCTGCACACAGGGAGGGGGGGCCAGCCCAAGAGACATGCATGTTGCAGACACCAAAGTGGAGGGGC